GTTTGCCCACCTCGGCCTAGATCCATGAAATCAGTGAGAGTTAGGTGCCTAAATAATTCTGAGGATCTGGGTCTAATGTACCAAGATTTTCCTTGGCAATCCAGGTGCCAGGCGTTTTGGTTCAGACCAGAGTGCCTGGCAAATACAGGCAGTTGTTTAGTAAAGAACAGATGAATGTAGCAGTGGGGGCAGGCGAGCTAAACCTCTTACTGGCATGAGTCTAGGGTGGCTGTAATAGGAAAGTAGCACATATACTTTGATATGAAATATCTCCTGCTAAGGGCATCTCTTGGCCTGGTTGTCAGAGGAGCTGAGCGCCTGCCACTCCCACTTTAGTTAATGGGACCAAACTAAATTGCACGGATCATGGACCAAATCTTACAGCACCCGAGAGGTCGAAAGCCCCATTACATCAGTGGGAGTTTGAGGAGAGCCAAGAGCACACGAAAGGGCTGCTCCAGCGATATCCTGACAAGAGAGCGCTGGGGCCCTCGATTTCAAAGTGACAGCCGAGGATGGAGCCATGTGGTTCAGGAAGGCCAAATGGGAAAGACGAGGCTGTATCTACACATCACTCTGAATATCTGCCCAGGTTTTCCCTCAGCTGCCTTGTCTTAGGCAAGGTCATTTTCACAGTAGCTCGATCACAGGATCAATCCAAATCCACAGATACCTCTGGCTAAAGTACTTGGAAAGCAACGTAATTTCTGAGTGGGGTTCCCCCTACCCCTTTTAGTTTTAGCTTCCCCTCAGTTCCGCTCTTACAGCCTAAGGCCACTTCACGGAGTAAGGTATGGAGACGGGTAATTGAAACAAAAAAACTATTAATTTAAACTGAACGGTCGGTAACATTTGCTTAGACAACCCAAGGCTAACAGGCATCTTTGGCAATGCAGATGGGCTATTAGAAGACATACAGAAGGAAAATTTACCAGCCAATGTAAAACATATTTTATCACCAATTCCTGAAACCCTCATGGAGTTTAATATTCTGCCCTAAATCTTGTTTACTGTTCTGCTCTGAAGACTATTGAAAATTCAGTTATTTCTGTCTCGCCCAACCCATACAACCCTAAATAATGTATAAAAAAGCAAAACAAAGAAGAGAATGTTAAAGAATAAAAATGCAAATGCAGGCACGGCACACAAAGATTCTGTCACAAAGGGAAGGACTGGGGAAGCCTTTTGTTAACATTGTAGGCCCGATATCTGGCATGTGCATTCAACGGAGGGAGCTGAAATGGCCTGCTCAGGTGCTGTAAATGGGCACTGGGGTATCTACATGCTCATTGGAGCACAACAGCATAGGCACAGGAAGTAGGAAGTTGGGGGTGCTGCAGCAGGGTCCCAGCTGCTGGTCCCATGCCTGGCTGCTGGCCTGGCGTCCCAGCTGTTGGCCCCGCTCCCGGGGGCCCAGCTGCCGGCCCCAGGACTTGGCTCACGGCCCTGCACCAGGGTCCCGGCTGCCAGCCCCAGGACTCGGCTCCCGGCCCCACGCCCGGGACTCCAGGGCCCTGATTTCCAAAGCTCTGAGCACCCACAGCTCTGCTTGACTTTGATGACTCAGCATCTCTGACCATCAGGCCCTCAGTGATTTTGCCCACGGCCATAGGGTAAGTCAGCAACAGAACTAGAACTCCAGAGTCTTGACTCCCAGGCATTGCCACCTTAAAGGCTCTTGTTTGCAAATTGAGCTTCCTAGAGTATTAAAAGCGACCTCACGCTTGAATGGAGTTTGCAAGCATTTCTATGCTCAATCGAAGTCTGCGATCTTCGAGAATGAGGGCTCTAGGAAAGGAAAAAGCTATTCCCACTCCCCTCGAGAGGGGCACTTGGGCAGCATTCCGATCTACTCCTGCAATAAATATTGCTAGCAGGTAAAACAAATGCACTTTGCTTTTGTTTATTTGGATGCATTTTACTGTGTGCTGCAGGTTAATGATATTAAATGTTGTATAATGACATTTCGAGAAGCAGAGGTGGGCGTTACTGTTTCGGAGAGACAGGCTTTAAAAATGCAGGCAATCAAATGTGCATTAGCCGCAGCACTCTGGGCAAAGCGCTTTCCCTCCTGTGCGGGAGAAACAAATACACCAATTGCGCAGTTTATCAGATCTTCATCCAAATAACTGCCTCGAAAGCCCACACCTAACAGGGGGCATGCAGGAGCAAAGCAGCCAAGCTGGATTGTCTCCCCAAGTTCAATTCCTCCAAACACACATGGTCTGGCAGAGTGTGTTTTATCTTAGGTTAAGAGCAGAACTAAAGAGTCAGTCTGTTCTATTCTATATAGATTTTTACACCTCCCGGATGGTTGTAGCATCTGACCACCTTCCCATGGTGCATTAAGTGACATCACTAACATCTGTCACGCATGGTTCATTCTCTCTCTCATCCTCTCCCCAGAGAGTAGTCACAGAACTTAATAGAAGATAACTTGTCCCATCTGTATCCTCAACCTGCACTGGCAAAGCCTGCCCAGAGATCACTATGGCTGTGCTGAATCCTGGGCTCACCTGGACCCCTCCCTGCTTCTGGATACCCCCGATAGCTAGCTCCGACTGCCAAAAAGGCCCTTTTTTTAATTGATGGAAGGCGAAAAGACTGTGCGATTCAGATGCAGCAATCCACACATGGGTGAACGCCAGGCTTGGTTACTGTACCTCTCTGTCCCTACGTTCTGGACAAAACTAGCCACCTTAAAAGAGCTACAACACAGGCTGATGAGAATATATTGCCCTAGCGCCCCACTCTCTGGTCTGGCTCCCCATTGAATTCTGGGTCAAATTCAAGTAGGATGACCAGATAGCAAGTGTGAAAAATCAGGACAGGAGGTGGGGGGTAATAGGTACCTATATAAGAAAAAGCCCAAAAAATCAGGACTGTCCCTATAAAATCGAGACATCTGGTCACCCTAGATTCCAGAGGGGCAGCTCTCGTCTGCAGTGCTGTTGGTGGGATCGTTCTGAGTTACAGCCCCCAAGAGACCGCCTCACGCTGGCCCTCTTTTGACCTCCCACGGTAGCTACGTGCCACTAGAATCATCGTCCTCAACAGAGATACTTGCCTGTGCGTAGTTCTCTCGGCACTTCCCACACAAGAGATCAGAACAGCTGTGGACGTCAGTGTGACGGGTTGGACCCCTTGGGAAGCCACCTGATGCGCTGAGATACCACTGAGTCTACCTGATTCTGCCAGCCTGGGCCCCCTGTAACCTGTCTTGCCATCCCAGGCTCTTAAAACCCCCTCTAACACACCCAGGGCCACACCCAGCTGCAGATCAGCTCTGGGAAGACTCAGCTTAGGGGACTTGCTCCAGCACTCAGATGTCCACCTCCCTTGGAGTGCAGACTCAGAGAATCATAGAAGATCAGGGTTGGAAGGGACCTCAGGAGGTCATCTAGCCCAATCCCCTGCTCAAAGCAGAACCAATCCCCAACTAAATCATCCCAGCCAGGGCTTTGTCAAGCCTGACCTTAAAGATATATTATGAAATTCGCCCCTCCCTCAATGCAGAGAGAGGTGTGTACACTTCTTACCCCCTCCCACCCCCCGTTAGAAATTACAGAATACAGTCTGGCCTAATTAAAGCATCTCTGCTAACACCCAATTGAGGTGGGATGCTACTGTCCATCTGTCAAGCCGCAATCCTAACAGATCTGTCTACAACCATCGCGCTTGCAGCCATAATCCGCCATCCGCGCAGCTCCAGAGTTGTTATTACTATTTATTATTTTTGTTGCAACAGCACCTCCGAGCCCCACTCACGGACCAGCACGCCACTGTGCTAGGCCCTGTACCAACACAGAAGAGAAAGGTCATCCCTGCCCCAGAGCTCCCAGTCTAAGTGGCCGCCACAGCAGAAGCTGTAGTGTAGGTGAGATTCAGGCATTCAGGGTTGTCTACCATCATGTTGTACAAGCCTTGACGACAGTAAAGACCTACAATCCCTGTCCACACTGCCGGCACCAGTTGTGCTGGACGGGCACAGAAGTACAGCTAAAAGTTTGAGCATCAGCGCACGCAGTGGTGAAAACTCTTACGCTGGTTGGAAATGGAAGGTTTCAGACTGTTCATTTTTAAAGGAGGATTCAACAGGGGAGAAAATAAAGTAAAATGTATGGGAAGCCATAACGTCACGAACTTCCTACGCACATGGGTTTCTCTAGTACTTCCCTTTAATGCTTCATCATCTGACCAACAAAGCGAGATTGCCAGGCTGGCTGAGGGACGTGTACGCAATCACATGGCCCGGTCATCGGAGAGTCAGGAGCTGCAGAGTTCCAACTGTGGCACTGACACCAATGCCCGCTGCAGCCTAGGACAAGTTACCAAACTGTGCCTCAGTTTCCCCCTCCTTCTGAGAAATGGGGAATGTTGATATGTGCCTATTTTAGGAGAGGGGCGAGGACCAGTGTTTGCGAAGTGTTTTGAAGATGAAGAGCTCTACATAAAGGCTAGGCTGTGTTATTTTAAAGCATGAGACTCTCTCTTTCCGCGTCCCACCCAGCTAACACTATAAAGAATCCCCAGCGTGAAAATCCCTGGCAAGGATGGTTGGCCATGAAAGCAAGACACGGGCTAAATGAGACGACGCCTGAGACCCAGGACTGGCTCCTACCGAGAAGCTGCGCTGTGGCACATACGGCACGGAGACATCGCTGCGCTATGGCAAACAAAACGCCTCACAGAATCAGAGGCCCTGGCTGGAGTTTCCCCACTTTGAAGCACTGATCAAGCATGTGCCTGCAGCCCAGCCGCACATGAGCGAGCGGGCGGCCAGGTTCCCTATGCGAAGGCTAATGCCCGATGTGTCTTGGACCGTGCACACGACTGAGCAAAAGGAAAGCAGAGGCCATGAATGCGATGGCTGCCAACCAGCGCCACCGAGATCAGCTGCCCCCTTGCTCATCCGTCACCTCCTAATGACCCTCTGGTACATTTGGGAGCCAGCCCTTTGGCCGGTAGGAAGGGAGTAAATAGGAAGGGACGCGACAAACCTTTCTTCTCGTATTCGGGCTTCTCCTCCCCGCCCCTGCCCAGGCTCTCCAGCGTCCGCGTCACCTGGCTGCCGAACTCGTCCTCCCTCGTGCCAGGCTCTGCCCGCTGCGGGACCTCGTCCTCGTCCTCAAAGTCGTAGTCGTCCAGGATGGGCGTCTCACGGATGGGCATGCCGATGACGGAGTTGTGAGCCTGCAGGCGTGAGTTGCGGAAGCTCTCCCGGGCCTGCGGGCCCAGCAGCACCGAGGGGATGTAGTGGATCTCGTGGGTGGCTTCAGTGCTGGCACTTTTCTGGGGGATCCGGCGGCGCTTGTGCCATCGCCGCTGGGCATACAGCGCCACTGTGAACACCAGCAGGAGCAGGAGCAGAGCGATCAGGCCACCCTGCAGGAGAGCAAAGGAGAAACATTAACAGGAGCTCAGGGCCTGCATTGCTCCATTCCCTCCAGACCCCGAAGGGGACCAGGACAGCATCACCATCTCCCCTGTTTCGGGAGCACCCTTTCATCCTGGATGATTCCAAAGCACTTTGCAAACTGCCAGTTGTCAGGGAAACCACCTCGCCCGCTCCTGAAATGCAGCCACCTCTGGGGTGGAGGCAGCAGCCAGGAAACCTAACTAGCACACAGCATGTTGCATGGGCAGGAAAGGTTCTGGCCGAGGACAATGGGCCAACACCTTAGTCCCAAAAACCGGGGGTGGGGGGGAAAGATCTGAAGTCTCAGCAGAGCAGAGGGGATGTCAGAAGGTCTCAGCCAAAAGATGCCAGCACAGCAAGCTGCATGGTACTCGATTTCCATGGGGCCAGGGCAGTTCTGCTAGAGGCTGATCCAGCTAATGTGACTCATATTGCAATAGCTCCCACTCCGTCCTGGTACCAACGGGGCGATTATGTAAGAACAGAATGGAGATAAAGCAAAGTGCTCCACCACTGCAAACCCCCAGACTAGCACCAGTGGGGACGATCCTGGTTACCAGCACTTTGCACCAGGGCAGCACATCTACACTGGAGGGGTTGCACAGGTGCCATTACAGCGGCGTTTAACGGAGCGCGCCCACTTCAATAACTTCCTGTCTGTCCGGGATAGGGTACGTCTACACTGCAGCTCAGAGGGCCGCACCTGCACTAGCTGGAACCTAGTTAGCCGGATAAAAAGAGCAGTTGAAGATGCGGCGGCATGGACTACACCCTAGGAACACACTTGCAGATCCGGCCCGCACTGAAGCCTGCACCCTAGACCCTCCCGGCTGTTTTTAGCGATCTAGCTAGATTGCAGTTAGCCTGGGTACAGCTGCATGAGCTGCACACCACGTCCCCAGCTGCAATGAAGATGTACCTATCTGCCCCCCCATTATCATCACAACTCCCCTGGGAGGCAGGGGCTGCTATCCCCATTGTACGGATGGGGAGCGGAGGCAGAGACTTGCCCAAGGTCACACAACGTTTGTGGCGGAGAAGTGGATTGAATCTGGATCTCAGCCATCACCACTGGACCACTTTTCCTCCTGCTGGTTTCCAACACTGCTCTTCAGGAACCTCTCGGACAATTCCAGGGCCCGATCTTTCCCTCTCCAAGCCAAAAACGATCTTATCAAATATATCTCTGCGATGGATTTATACATTTATATTTATTATTTACATTGAACACCTCACCATCACTGAATTTATCCTTACCTCCCCGCTCAGCTTTATCCCCATTCTGCAGATGGGAAACTGAGGCACTGATAGATTAAGTCACGCAGGGAGTCTGTGGCAGAGGCAAGAGCTGACCCTGGATCAACTGCATCCCAGCCCAGTGCCTCAGCCCAAGGCTACCCCTCTGAAGCAGTATTGCACGCGTCCTCCTGGCAGATGCACTGATGGGAACAATGGTAAAAGTGCTTCTTAATGCAGGTGCATCCTCAGAGGTGGTCTCTCCAAGTCAAGGCACCCAGGCTGGGCAGCAATGGAGAAGTCTTCACTGCCACAGTTCACGCTGCCCCTGTTCTGGAGGTAAATACAGACTGTCTTTCAAGTGGGCACCTAACGCAGGCAGGCAAGAGAAATGGGTTTGCTGTTTGCAAGCCGCTCTGAGACCCCCTGCAGCTTCTAGTCAGGTTCGTACTGTGGCAGACAAATATCCCAGGGCAGGTAAATCAGGAGTGGCGTGAACAATCAGGGCTTTTACAGCATGACATGTAACTGCTGGGGGAGGGGAGGAATTTATGCTGGCAAATGAATGCCCAAATCCAAGAAACTTTACAAACCGTGTAACCAACATATAAATATTTCATCTGTATTCAGTAAAAACATTGTGAGCGTACAGAGAGATCTGAGACACATAAACAGGATAATCTATAAAAAGCGAGTGTCTAAAAAATGTGATTCACAAGATGAGTTAGCTTGGGAGACAGACACTCAGCCAACGACAGCTGGATGGATCTGGCAAACTCACTCCCTGCTTTCACAATAGTGCAATCTTTGCACGTATTCTGAGCCGGTTCCACCACAATGCAGTCACACTCAACTTCGAAAGAAGAAGGAAGACACAATATTGCACATGATGCAGATGGTGAGCTACCACGTACACCCACAGGGTCATTCACAGCAGTCTTCTAGCACACCCCTGTGCCCCCTGCCCATTCATGCGTGGTGGGTGGATCTCACAATTGCACCTACAAGCTCACAAGTGTGGTGAATGGGTCCCTGTGCACCCCAAAAACCCACACGGCCATGTGGGGTGGATGAGCATCACCCCTCCACCCCCGTGAACTCCTATTCATGCACAACAGAACCGTCTCGCGCTCACAAATCCGCCTAGTGACTTCTGGTAGACACCTACAAAGCCAGCACGCTTGTGAATAGTGGATGGGTCCTCTTGCAGTGTTGTGTATGGTAAACAAGCCGCTCACCCCCCCATGCGCCTACGTGGTAGACGGGCTTCAGGCACTGGCACCCATCCACAGCCTATTTCCACAAGTCACACCTGCTTTTTTCCCCCTAACCCCTACACAATGGAAAACCTCTTTGCCTCTAAGTTAGCAAGAGTAAGGGAGCCAGCGTCCCTGTACAAGAGGTCTGCTCAGAGCCCGGGGTGTTCTGGGACCTAGGGGAAGTCTCAGGAAGTGTTGGTTTGGTTGCAGAGGGCTGGGAAGAGTGCAAAGCAGTCCATGGTCGTTAGGTCCTGGGGGCACCACCTGGGCCTTTCCTTCTCCAGTGGTATATTTGGTCATGAATCCAGCAGCTGGTTGCCTGGAGCACGAGGGAGCAGCAAGGAGGCGAGGAAAGGTTGCCATAAACCGAGGAGCCTCTGAGGAGCCCAGAGCTTTCCTGGCCCAGCCCAATCTGCTGTGGAAATGCAATATGGCAGCTCTCATTAGGATCCCCTCCCCAGCCTCATCTGTTTTCTCATTTGGTTCTGTAATTGACACTAATAGGAAGAAGGGCTCAGGGAGGCGGAATGACTTTGCTCAGCGCGACTTTCCCAATTTAGCAGACAGCGTCTGTCGGGAAACAGAACGCATTAGTGGCCAGGAAAGACTCCTGCAGCTGTGACTGGGAGAAGGGCCCACGAGGGGAGGACCACAGACTGTGTGAGGATTCTTCCTCGGTGCTCAGGATCAGGGTACCCAAGAGAGCTTGAAAAAGAGGGAATCCATCTTCTGTTCCCCTCTGTATGTGCACAGCGCCTTGCACAATGGGGTCCTGGTCCATCACTGGGACTCCGAGGCATGAGAGTGATATGAATGATAATGTTTCTTGGAGCTCCGTGTCCAGGCAGGTCATGGCCTCTTGGGAGAGTCATTCACGTGGGGGAGGAGTTTCCGCCTGTTGATTTATTACACACCCAGCTGTACAACCTCATCCACTCAACCACACAGCCACAGAGACCCTGCAGCGAGGGTCTCCACGGAGGGCAATGCAGCGACACCAGGATAGAAGGGTGATGTACAATCCCCACCCCACAGTGCCTGGAACCCCTGGGGACGCTGTGCCCATTCAGTTGCAGCAATCCTGCATGTGTAACCCACCGGTGGGTGTCTCAAAAGTCCCTCTCTGTGCTGAGGTACAGAGGATACAAGTTCTTACAACCCCTCCCCCCTCCACTACAGACCGTTCGCTCACAGGGTAGCAGCTCAAGCTTTTAAGCTCTGGCGTCTCCCGGTTCAACCCTGAGGTCAGCCAAAATGGCAGCCATGACGCACGACGAGGTACAGCACGTCCTATGAACATCCAGTGGCCTTACTGCAGAGCTGCCTAAGGCACCACACAACTCTCCTGCCGCAGCCGGCAGACGAGTGCACGCTGTCCAGTCCGTCCGTTTCATGGGAGGGGAGGGAGGAAGTGGGGAGGCTGGATTCACGGGGAATGAGGAAGCAGAGCTCTGAGCTCCACCAGATGAGGGGGAGATGCAAAGGAATTTTTAAAAGACAACACCCTCACCCACCCCGCCCTGGCCTCAGAACCCAGCGGGAGCAGGCAGAGTCTGGCAAACTCTAATCTCTTCTGGGGTGTTAGCCTCTGATCGCAATCAGGAAATCCTCCACCAAAGCACCTGCAATCTGCCAGCAGGTGCTTTCCATTACCCAAGTGCTGTGTATCAGCGTTCGGTGTTGGAATGCAGGGTCTGTTGCAGATCATCCCGTCTGCCCACCTCCAGCACAGGCACCCAGCCTCATGGCTGTTAGCTGAGGAGGAGAGGCAGAGCCAGACTGGAACCCACCTATCAAGCTCCCTGAGTGAAAGCGGCAGCTGGAAAGCTACAAATGGAGACGTTCAGGCTGCCTTGGGCCAGTGAGGGCTCTGCACCATTCAGCACCAGACCTGGGCTGTTTCCTCAACAGCAGGGCTGGACACCCCAGCGATCTGAGTGCATTCGAATAGCCAAAGTGTCCCCCCACAGCTCGGACAGGCTGCCTCCCACCCTAACACTCGGAGCCAAGGAGAGTGCCGCCCGCTTGCTCCTAACATGCCCCACCGCTCGGGCAGGGAAAGGGGACATGCCCCCTCATACGCTCGCTAGAGCGGGTCAGGAGCTTTTCAGTGAAACCGCCCTCAGAAAATGCCAACGCCTCGAAAATGAAGCTTTTCTCAGACACGTCCCTGTATCTGTTCTCCGGGAAGGTTTCTCCGGCTCAGGATGCAATTACTGGTCCAAACCAGAGACCCACCCATCCCAGAATAGCCAACAGCCTGGCGCAGGGCCCTCACCTGGGACGGAAGAGACTGTGGAGATTTTCCAGGAGACTGAATCAGGCACACATGGATCTGAACCTGGTTCTCCCAAGAGCATGCTCTAACCTATTCAGGGGTGGGATATCTCACAGGATGGAATTCTGGTTTTCCAGACAGCCCTAATGCTCAGCGCTCCATTCAAACCGTCCCCTGCTGGCACAGTCCTCCA